GATCCGATCCTTCCGGTTCCCTCTCGCTTCCGCTTCTTCCTTCCCTCCCCCCTCCTCCCCCCCCTCGTCGTCGTCCCCACCGTCTTCGCCGTCCTCGCCGTCCTCGCCGTCCCTGCCCTCCCCAGTCTCCTCGTCAACGGTCATCGCATGCCGCCCGGACCCCTCCACCGCTTTTCGCGCCTACCCTCGCAATGGAGCGCCCGCCTCAGCCCCAACATGGCCTCTAGGCTCCCAACCTCCATCCTCCCGCCTGTCTCTCCCTTCCCCCGTCCCTCGCCATCACCTCCACCTGTCTCTCGCACCCACGTCCTCCTCGCGCGTGGCTCACCACTGTGTATCCCCTCCTTCAATGCCCGGGCAACCATTTTCACCTGACTTCGCGGACCACCGCCCTTCGGCCGCAAGCCGGCTATACGCACCGGAGTGACATTCCGTCTATTGTGTCCGCTCTCCCCTTTCATCGATCCCCTCGCCCATGATGTCCCTTCCGTCATCGTGTCGTATGCAGCATAAACGTACCCTCAACCAACTGTAAGTCTCATTTATTCTCTCTAGATGCTGTTAGGCAGCCGGGCTCACGCAGTGGGATAGGTATGGCAATCCGGATTTCTCACGCGGCACGTGTAGAACACGAAGCAGGATTTGTACTCCGCCAACACATCATAATTCATCGCATCCCTGGCGCCAATCACTCTGTTCCTCCCTCTCTACCCATCCGATGGGGCCCTCACGCAACAAGGGCAACGGCAGCGCCCTCTCAACAGGCGTCACGAAGTTTCCGGGATCCAAGTCACGCGGGCGGGCGAAGGCGAAGGATCTCGACCTTCAAGCTATCGACAACTTAGCCCATCGGCGTCATGAGCAGTACACTGCGAGCATTCAAGGTAAGAGTATAATTCAGTGCTTTTTATTTATTTTTCTGACGGCGGTGAAGGTCTTGGCGCTGAGTCTACTCAGCTTCTTGAGAGTGGGCCGGCTTTCGAGCAGAGTACCATCGATCCGGTCCCATCTGGATGGGACCCCGGCACAAGTCACGATGGCGGCTGGGAGGACGTGCCCATGGAGGAGGATGGAGATGAGTCAGCATTCCTCGACGCGGTGGAAGACATCGCCTACAACAAGTACGTGCTCAACTTCTCTAGAAAAATCTGTTACTTCTACTTACTTGCCCAGGTCGACAAAGGCATACGATAGTCGCACGTGGCAGCAACGGCTGCAGCGTGTCGAAGACAACTTCCAGCCCCTCATTCCTACCCTCACCGCCGCTTACATCAAGTGGCGGTATCCCAAGCCCGACCAACCTTCATCTCCGTCACCCCCACCTAATGACTCCGATACCGCTGAGTCTGCGCCGCCCAACTCGGGTCAACCTTCTTCCTTTGATACCGCCCAGCCTTCTGTCCCTGACGACTCCCGTCCCCCGTCTTTCAACGCCGAGGCCGACTCATCGCATCATCAATATGATTTTGATATCTCCGTCATCAATATATACTCCATGGACTCGGTAGCGCATATCCCCAGTGCTGCGGACATTGCGAGCCCCGTCGAGGCCCTCATCTTCTGTGGGTACCTCGCGGCCAACCCCTATTTCCCCTCTCTTGCCTTCTCCCTTCGGACCCTTGAGCTATATCGTTGCATCCGCCTGCGGAAGCCATCGTTTAGTATTGAGGCATTCGCGAAGGTCATATGCGATCTCTACCAAGTACGTTTTTGTTTTGTTATCATCTGGAACTCTATTAATGCTCTATTCTAGCGACCCTATCATCGGCGCTATCGCACGGCCTTGTCTGAGGTCTTCAATGTTTACCTCATGCTCATTCGATGCGTCGACGATCAGGTCAAAGAAGCGCTTGGTCGCAACCAGCCTGATTGGCGGGCGCGCAATTCCTGCCCTGCATGCACCTATGAGGTAAATGCCATCGTCTTCTCAATAACAATTTACTGATGTCCGCGTAGCTGAAGGATGAGCCGGCTCTCAAGTATCGTCGACTCCTCGCCTTTGACGGCAACAACTCGCTCTCGCGTATGGCAGCCTTTGGGAATCGCCAAGCCGGCGATCTCAGGGAGTTCAACTCCGACTATTTCCTCGACCGCGAGTATGTTGATCGCTTCGCCAACGATGTCCGCTCTGCCCGCGCCCCTGGCGACCCTCCATCAGAAGAGTCGCCACCCGACGCCGTGGCATCGTGCACGGATAGTTGGAAGGCGGCGGCTGCGGACGCGAAGAAGAAGAGCTGGGGAATCTTCGACGAGACGGGGATCTTTGCATGTGCGTGCAGGCATGGCTTTATCGTATGGATAGCGGATATGGTGCGGAGCGGAGAGTTGTACGTTTTTCATGGACTTGATAACACATTTTGTATTCATACTGTATATTAGGTTCAAGTATCCACTTGCCATCGTCAACAAGTCCCTTGACACCCTCGGAGACCGCCTACTCATTGCCTTCGACATCGGCTGTAAGCTTGCGACCACGATTGGCACAAGCTCCATTGCTGCCAAGTTCAAGAAGTCCGGATCCCGGATGTGCGTGGACGCATTCCACGGTTACACGCATAATTACTCGTGCCAGGACAAGAACCACCCTACCGGTGTTGAGGGTGCCGGCCTCGAGGACTTCGGCATCATGGAGCGCATATTCAGTCTGTCCAACAATCTCGCCATTGTCGTCCGCTATTCCTCCGCATTCACACGTCATCAATTCATCGACATGTACTTCATTCAATGGGATCAAGACCGGTTCCAGAACCTCGGTAACGCTTTGTATCGTGGCTATGTACACGCCCTCAAGATCCGCACCGACGAGCGCGGCGCCCTCGAGCAGGCGAAGCGATCCCTCAACGTATCCGACGAAGACCTCTGCACATGGAGATTGGAGCAGACCGAGTACTTGAAGACCAGCGGCGAGGAGTCTGAGTATGATGTGTACGCTGTCGCGTACGTGGAGGTTTTGCAGCAGCTGCGAGATTCTCAGTGAGTGGTAACCAGTTCCCATCACTTTACACCCCTGACCTATGTAGAGCATCTGCCGAGAACGCGGCGAACGCGTTTTTGCATTCCATTCCGGCTAGCTACCACACCTCCTCATGGTCGCTGTCCACGCCATGGACCACGTCGACCTACAACACGCAGTCGCACAGCAATCGCCTCGACACAACGCGGCGTCTAACTTCGCAAAGACGCGCTGAGCTCGAAACCGAAGCCATCGCCTTAGAAGTCAACATGGGCATCTCGCGACGCTGGCAACCATCTGATGCAGAATACATCATGGCTGTCCAGTACATTCACAACCGCAAGTACCACCAAGCCCTGAACAACCTTCAGCGGCTCGTGGTTCTCCGTCTCATGGAGCTTCATAAGCTCAATATCGCACAAACCGGTACGTTCTCGCGCGCCGTTCAAAACTTTATCATTAACATCGTTTCTAGGTTACAAGATGAGAACCCACATCGCGAAGTCGCTCCAAAACCGATGCAAGGCGATTCGAACCGCCATCAAGGTCTACAACGACACCGCGCACGCGATCGGGCGCCCCGCTCTCGAGTGGTCCAAGGTCTCGAACCACTCCTTCCTCGAGGAGTTCACCCTCTTGCACGAGACCCGGAACGATATCCGCGCGAGGGCCTGGACACAGCCGGTCATGCGCGAACTCATGAAGCAGTCGCTGCGGGTGGAACGTGCGGAGGAGGAGATATTGCGCTTGAATGTTGAGGTTCGTCGTCTCCATACTGCGATCGTCGACGAAGAGCGGGAGTTTGCCCGGGTTCTCAGGGACCTCCAGCAAGCCGGTAACCCAATCTATGGTGCCGTGCTGGAGTCCTGCGAGCACCGGATGCGTGTCAACGCGTGCGTCATGCAACGCTTGGAGGACATCTTCGCCCTTAGCGGCTTCACGGGCTCGTCGGAGGTCGGCGTTCGTCTCGGGTCAGATGTAGATTCATCTACATCGCCAGCTGCGACGAGCCGTCTGCGTGGCGAAGCGCGTGGCGAAGCAACCCCTGGTGATGATGGGGATGCTCACGAGCCCGACGACGATCAGCTACAGGAGATTGGTAACTTGGTGGATTATATCACGGACTTGGAAGTTGGCAGTTAGTATCTCTGTAATGTATTACTTGTCGCGCATTAGTTAGTGCTTAGCAATGTCATTCCTACTTCCTCTATTTTTGTGTGAATTATCAACCGTACGAATCTAAGAAACAGTGATGAATCTATGTTGAGATAATTGGCTGGTGACTTAAAAATACGTGCAGAAGTTGGTGATTTGAGTTTTGTACAAGTGACCACGTTTCGCAGTACGTCGATTGGTGTGCTAAAATATAACTTCGTCTCACGGAAGTTAGAGCTTCGATCTGATGGAATCCTCAATGCCATGATGCGTGCAGCATGTTGTGTGCGTGCACTGGTGTGCGCATCAAACATGGTGATCAGTTGGCGTCTCGCGGCAAGCTGTCAATCACCACTTAACGGCGTGACCGCTCACATCTCACTAGCACTCCTCACTCCTCACTCCTCACTCCTCACTTTGTATCCATTGCTGATGGCCAACGCTGACCCCGACGCCAATCTCAAATGCTACGTGATAGGTGGTCCTAACCAAGGCTATCGGAACAAACGGTGAGTAACGACAATCACAATGCTGCCACATATCTCACAGGTAGCATCAGTCCTTTCATCGCTGCTGGTCGAAACACTCCCCCCTTCCCTCTTGCTATATACCACCGGCCTTCTTGGATGGCCAGCGACCTTTACGTTACTCGCATGTTTATACAAGAAGACTTTACTCCGTCCAGCCTCCACATTGACAATGCTGTTAGAATTCTCCGATGTCTACAACACTTTGAACCTCTCGCGAACCATGACAGGTTCTATCCTGTGGTGTACGGGCAACATGTGGGGATATACACAACTTGGTGAGTCCTTGCCTTTCTCCGAGGCTTTCTTACAACTGGTCATAGGGACGATATGGCACCCGAGGTCAGTGGGATAGACTACGCCCGCTTCCAACGCGTCCCGACGCTGAAGGACGCTCTCGTGTTCATGGCCACCAAGGGCAAGATCCACAACGTCGATATGCTTGTCGCCGCGATCCACCCCGCTCCCCTCTACGAACTGCAGGCTCCTCCTTCCCCTCCTGCTTCGCCGGCACTTGCTCCGGTGAGGGAACCTAGACAGGGACCTCGTCGACACAGGGACCAGGTGCATCAACACTCAAGCACTGTTGTCGGTACGTCCTCATCCATAGCTTATTCATTGCAAGGTTCTTAACGTGTCTAACGTGTCTATCTCTTCAGATTCGCTGGCCAGTGACCTTGCTACTGCTCTGGTCGTCCATGTGGTCCCTCCAACCCCGCGTCCGTTGGCCGGCGCTGCCAGCCAGAACCAGGCCCGCCGCTCCTCATCTCGTTGTTCCTCCACTACTCTTTCGACTGTTTCGACTCTCTCGTACACGATCCCAAGCGTTCACGCTGCCCCTCGCGCTGCCCCTCGCGCTGCTCCTCATGCTGCTGCTGCTGCCGCCTCCGCCTCACCCCAATCTGCTCAGCACCCTCTTCCTGCTGCTCAGGGACCTATCCCGGCGGAGCATCCTCAACAGCCACACCCCCCGCAGAGGGTCTATCGTCACGAGCGTTCGCTTGCAGGTATCATCAGGTCATACTCATCTGCCAATGAAGTTCCGCCTTTGGTGGACGCACCTCCTCCTCATCTTCTCCCTGCGCCAGCACAGGACTATATGGAGGCTCAGGGGCTCACTCCCGCTGCACGTTGGTCTGTCGTCTACGCTTTCCAAGACGCGTTCACTGCTCAAGACTTTGTGGACTATCTCGCGGATCGCGGGACTGCTGTAGCTGAGGCAATGTACCTGTTTGGCCTCATAGCCGGCGTTCCCGAGGGTTCGGAGTTCTAGTTGGATTGGCCTCGGCTGTTGCGTCGCAGCCCTTACTCGCTTGTTGCTCATGTTATTCAGGTTTTTTTTGCAATATAATCTCCCGGAGTTCGCCGCAGTCCTCACAACTAAATGCTTATAAGACGGCATGTTTTTTTCTTCTTTTCTTTCCTTGTCTCTCTTTCTCTCATTCCTCTCGTAATGACTGTCTCGATTCCCCGTTACCTGCTTGCCGCAAAGCGCCCCCCTCGCAGGCCTGTGCGACGCGCCTTCGCGAAGCCGAAGCGGACTCTGACCCCACTCGAACGGGGTAGGCTCCTTGAGCAGCGCGCTACCGCCAAGCAGGAGTACGAAGACGCGCTTGAGGCTTCTCGAGCGGTCATCATGCAGGAGGCCGTCAAGCTACAGGGCCGCTTTGGTAAGCATAGCATCGAACATTACTACGAGGCCATCATGCAGTCGTCGCGGATCAAGGGCACGAAAAGGCGCCTCAACCGGTGGAACGCCCACCTCTCTAAGGAGTTACGGACTTTCAACGACTGTAAGTCTTTGCTGCTCGGGCTTTTGGTTTCTATCTAACGACCTATTTGCACAGCTATTCCCGTTGACGGCGAGCACAAGACCGCCTCCCAGTACGCGAAGGAGCTCAAGGACGACTGGAACAACATGTCGGAGGAGGAGCGCATCGAGCTCACCAAGCAGGATTGCGAGGAGCTGGAAGAGATCCGCGCCAACAAGACTGTTGCCAAGCACAATGTCAGGTTCGCCGCCTGGCACGACGCGACTGCCACGCTTAAGGAGGCGGCATCCACGGTACGCACATTTGTTTTATCTTCATTATTTCTCGGCATTTTATTCGTTTGTTAACCACTCAATACTTAGCTTGATGACTTAGCCGCTCGCGCTGGCATCAAGATACTCCTCATCGGTGTTCGGAGCGACAACACCCACATCATGCGACCCTTCATTCACACCACCGACGACGACGTCGAGACGCACTTCCATATCATCACGAAGAACACTGTTGAGAGGTTTGCCATGCGGCTAGAGGCATGTAGCGTCTCTGGTTTGACGGGTGAGTAGCAGCCTTTCGTCGTCGTCACCTAGCTTATCAGTTGTATAGGCCTTATCTCAAACTACAAGGACTCTTTCCTCGCGGTGAAGCGAGAAATCGTCGGCTTAGTGAACAAGAAATTATGTAAGTGATTTTTTTTGTCCTCCTCGCGCTAGTGTTTACGAAACTCATAGGTGACGCTGCCGGTGTTCCCTTCAAGAAGACTCCATACTCCAACTTCGACGTTGCCGTCACGGAGAAGTACGGCATCATCGTGGACAACTGGCCCCTCCCTGTCTTCCAAAGCCCCTCCCTCATTGGCTCCATGACTGAGCTCCGTGTTCTCCTCACGGCGTTGAAGACGAGTACAACGAAATTCCGGAAGCTTTCTCAGGAGGAGTGGAGGGCTTGGGAGAATGCCCGGTTCAATCGGGCGATGGAGCAAATGGGTAAGTTTCCGATCACTCTTGTCGCCAATGTTATTGATGGGCCATCAATATTATCAAGGCCCCACTGACTCGGCTCAGGAACCTGAGCCAGCCATCGCCCAGAGTCCTTCCTGCGCCAACTCTGCCTTCTCGCCCATTCTCGCGACATCTCCAGTATCGACGCCGTCAACTTTCCCTGCTGCAGGTAACAACTTTGCTGTACCTACTCTTCTCCCTGATGGTTCTACTCCCATGTCGGCCCCAATGTATCTGCCCCAGCAGGCTGCATACCCGATCCCTAGCAACCCAGCTCCTGCGGTAACATTTGAGTTTGTTAATAGTATTGCCGGTCCAATGGGCCATCAATTTGCCAGTCCGGAAGATGGCCGCCGCCGCCGTGGCAGAAAGAAAGTAACCGCATGAACTTGGCACTTCAAATTGTCTTAGCATTTACGAACTCTAGTCTTACCAGTCTTTATAGTTACTTTACTCAGCTGTTATTATAGTCTGATATCTATGTATTCGAACTTGTAATTATGATAGACTGTCCCATTCAATAGACTTTGTGGTGTGTCAGCATTTGGAGATTGATAGGTTGGAGCTAAGACTTGGCAAAGTCGGCCCCGAGCTAGACCCGAGCTAGGCCCGAGCTGTCAACTCGCGTAGGACTCGGACTTGGTGAGTTTTCATAATGGCGATATCAACAGCGGAGTAACTATGATGACGTGTATGTATGATGACATGTCCACCTTGTGAATTCCTTACCAACAAGCCTAAGTACAATACTATACCAATCCTCCTACAAGAACTTGAAGGTTAGAGTATGCTCGCAGACTGACTAAGGTAAGCATAGAACATACCGACTACCAACGTACGTGCAAGGCTGAACGTGATCGCATATATGTCACCGGGTGAGCTGTCGGGTTGATGAGGATAGTAACCGAGTAGTGAAGACATTTGAAACTTACCTAAGGGCCGGTGTGCCAATGCCGAGCGGGAGAAAGAGGCCGTGTGATGAGAATGCCGAAATCCGGCAGTGCGAGTGTTGGCGCTGGGGCCAGAGCAATAGAGTTGGTGGAGAAGGGTCCCTGCCCGGATGCCTTGCTGAACGAGGTTGAGACGAGAGGACAGCGGCGACGCCGAGCGTGAAGGAGCTGTGAGCGGGGAGAGGACGGCGGCGACGCCAAGCGTGAAGGAGCTGTGAGCGAGGAGAGGAGCTGTGAACGGGAAGGCTTGCCGAAGGCAGTACCTCCGGCGCAAATATCCGATCTGCGGCTCAAGAGCGGGTGTTTGGAAAATGAGGTGGGTTGGAAATCGAGGTGGCGAAGAGAGCCGTGCACAGCAATATGCCGCATGCGAGGCGAGAGGTACCGAAGGCAGATAGATGTGGCGAAGGACGAGGGAGGGAGGGAGAGGCCAGGCCGAAGGGCGGTGGTCCGCGAAGTCAGGTGAAAATGGTTGCCCGGGCATTGAAGGAGGGGATACACAGTGGTGAGCCACGCGCGAGGAGGACGTGGGTGCGAGAGACAGGTGGAGGTGATGGCGAGGGACGGGGGAAGGGAGAGACAGGCGGGAGGATGGAGGTTGGGAGCCTAGAGGCCATGTTGGGGCTGAGGCGGGCGCTCCATTGCGAGGGTAGGCGCGAAAAGCGGTGGAGGGGTCCGGGCGGCATGCGATGACCGTTGACGAGGAGACTGGGGAGGGCAGGGACGGCGAGGACGGCGAGGACGGCGAAGACGGTGGGGACGACGACGAGGGGGGGGAGGAGGGGGGAGGGAAGGAAGAAGCGGAAGCGAGAGGGAACCGGAAGGATCGGATCGGGGACAGCCGGAAAGGAAGGACATGTCATCAAATTCGGGGGAACGGGCTAATTACAATAATAACCGAGCGTACATACGTGATATTGATGACGTTGCTAAGAAAAGGCGGCGGGATTCAATGACTAAGCGAGGGCGGAGGGAACGGCGGGAGGGCGGCGGCGGGAGTGGGGCGGGCAACGGCGAACAAAGGGCTTTGTCGCTGGAACGGGGCGTGGGAGGGATTCGGAGAGATCCGACTGATGAAGGGACTTAGTCAAACTCCTGGACTCCGTGCCTGGCATTGCCGAGTCTTTCCAGAAACAGTCTATATTCCATTCAAGGCAAAAGAACCGAAGGTACCTGAGGTGAGTG